TTGATGTGGGATTCCCCTCTGTATACTATGAATATGTTTTATTACCATTGGTTATTAAAGAAGCTGTTTCAGCTTAGTAGAGTAAAGCCAGGCAAGAAATCCGAATAGAGATATAGAGAGAGTGTAGGCAGAGTCAAAGAGATGCTATGTAACTGCCAAAGGAGAAAGACACCAGCTGCCAGCAGAACCTTACTGGTAAATCATGAGCCTTATGATAAAATACAAAATAGTAAAAATGGGTTAATTTAAGATGTAAGAGTTAGCTATAAATATGCATATGCTATTGGTCAGTGTTGTAATTAATATAGTTTCTGTGTGATTATTTGCATCTGGGCAGCCAGGAAATGAACAAGCAGTCTCTGCCTACAAAATGGTGCCCAACGTGGTGGTCTTGTACCCTGTAGAGATTTGTCACTTGTATTGATTTAACAAAATGCTGACTGACCAGTAGCCAGGCAGAAAGTATAGACAGGGCAACCAGTATAGGAGAATTCTGGGAAGAGGAAAGGCCAGTCTGCAGTTGTCATACAGATGCAGAGGAAGCAAGATGAGAAAGCCTCACTGATAAAATGTACCAAGCTAACACAGATAAGAATTATGGGTTAATGAAAGATATGAGAGTTAGTTAATAAGAAGCCTGAGCTAATAGGCCAACCAGTTTATAATTAATGTAGGCCTCTTTGTGTTTATTTGGGGCTGAATGGCTGCAGACTAGGCGGGACAGAAACCTCTGTCAACACCTTTTCTATAACTTTTTACCTTGATGGGTGGTATCTTTATATCTTTATTTTGGGGGAGGAGGAGGCTGTTATTGCAGGGCACATCTGCTTTAGCACAGGAGGCTTGTCTGCCCACCCGGTCGTAAGATGGTGTTCTAGTTTCATTTCTGTGCCTGTGATAAAGCACCCCAATGAAAAGTAGTTTAGGGGAGAAAGGAGTTTATTTGGTTCACAATTCCAGGTCCATCATAGCAGAGAAGTTACAGTGGCAGGAACTCAAAGCAGCAAGCCATGGCATGTCACAGTTAAGAGCAGAGAGAAATAAATACATACAAGATGACTTGCTTTTCTTTCTCCTCTCTTATATAGTTCAGGATCCCTTGCCTAGGGAATGGTGCTACCCACTGTGGGCTGGGTCTTCTCACATTAATTGACAGTCAAGACAATTTCCCACATACATACACACAGGAAATCTGATCTAGACAATTTCTTAATTGAGATTCTTTCCCCTTAGGGTTAGAGAGATGGCTCAGCAGTTAACAGCCTTTATGTTCTTGCAGAAGACCTAAGTCCATTTCCCAGTGGCCCATAAATGCCTGTATTTCAAGCTCTAGAAGATGTGACACCCTCTTCTGGCTTCTGCAGGCACCTGCACTCATATGTACATACTCACATGTAGACATCTATGCATAACTAGAAATAAAATAAATCTTGAGAGGAAAAAGACTCTCGAGGATAGATTCTAGGCTATTTCGAGTCGAGAGTTAAAAATTACTGCAAGTATTCAATTGTTGCACAAACTGTGTTTTATACTGTGTCTCATGGGATTTCAGCTTTCACTGAGCAGAGGATTGGAGAACAAGCAGTTTTCTGACCATTTGTTTAAAGAAGTACCAGTGAGGAAACAAGGAGACAAATTAGGGACAGGAAAGAAGACAAGAAAAAGCTACAAGAGCGATGTAGGCAACTGGTCCCCATTGGAGACTCATGGGAAGCAGTGCAGAATGAGCCTCAGTTGGTTTTATCTTAGAGGCAAGGAAGCTGTGGCATTTATCCACACTCCTCTCTCATTGCCTGGGGCAGGGCCAACCAACAACAGTGCTCCTTGACAGTTGTGGTTGTCTCAGACAAGGACCATTCCTCTCAATGTGGCTTGAGGATGTCCTCAAATTGCGAGTCTCACATCCTTGCAGTATGATCCTGTATGTATGTACAGAATGGCGATACCCCAGGAGATGGATAGGGCTCAGACAACATTTCCTTTCTTTTAATACTGAAGGTAAGTGGGATGAGTCAGTTGTTCATGCTTCCTGACATAGACAGGTGCTATGGAACGAACCAGGGCATGTGGATAAGTGAGACTGTGCCCCATTTAAGGGGAGCAAGCAATTTTATGCTCTAAGGTCAAAAGACCAAAGCTAGTCTACGCTTTGATGTCCCCACTGGACAGTCCCCAAAGCAGCCTGGGCACAATTGTCCCAGGAGACTCTAGACTTGTATTCTTTTTGTGTGTGTTCTTCTGTAGGGCAGCAGCGGGCCTTTCACTTGAACTGGCCTATTGCCTCATCTTTCCAACAAGGTGAAGTTTTTTTTTTTGTGTGTGTGTTTGTTTGCTTTTAATTACATTGTGTGCACAGCCTTTGGAACCCTAAGCATGTAAGGGAGCACACTGGCTGGATTTCAGAACTCTGTGAGCAGTCCTCTCCTTACAGCAGCGCAAGACAGGAAAACTCATGGCCTGGAAGATCTTGCTAGAGGAGTAAGAGAACTCATTTAATTGAGAGATAATTGGCCGAGTTTAAAATTAGTAAGCCACATCCATCTTTGCCCATTGGTTCGCAGGCCTTTGCTTCCCTTCCATGGTGCAGTTCATTAGACGGGGCAAGAGATCTTAGAAGAACAGGGTATCCAGAGCGGGGAAGTTGAAGATACTTTTCCTTACGTCTCATTCTGGGTTAGTGGTCTATCAGTTGGCTTGAGACTTAATCTGTCTCTGCTCCAGCAGCTGTAGCTCTGTAAGAGAAACTGAATGGGCAGCACTTCCCATTGCCCATTATTTCACTTATTGCCTCTATATCTGCCTTGTGTTGTTTATTGGAGCGTCAAGTGTCTCAGAGCCCATAAGTCTTGCATCGTATTATCTTCCTTCTCCTTTTAAATTTTAAGTCTTATATTAAATTCATCTTTTGACAATTTCTTATGTATACAAAATATATACTCTATAGAGTATGTTCTGATTATGGTACTTTCACCCTCTCGCCTTCCATCCTACTCCCCGTGGCCCCTCCTCCCTGCAAGCCCCTTTCCTCCAGTTAGTGGTCCTCCGCCTCCACATCTCCTCACTGCACTAATCCTGGTCCCTTATAGCCTCCCTCCAGTCTCTTTCCTCTTCCATGTGCCATCATCCTTTTGATGACCCCGACCTTCCTCATCACTGTTTCTCTCTCTTGTGCTCTTTTGCAGGTTTTTGGGCTCTCACAGAAGACTGGGACGAGAGTTTGGTTCTCAGCTCCCATGTCAGGCACCTTTCAGATCACCTGCAACTCCAGATTTGGGGAATCTGGTGTCCTTTTAGGGCCTCCTCAAGTGTACACATGCACATTCCCACACGCACGCACACACACGAATAAAAATGAAAAAACAAATTGCTCTACACCTTGTGCTGAGGTCATAATTTCTCACTGCGTGCATTATCTCCATGCACCTTGGGAGCCACCCTGTGCTCTGTGGGATGTTTATCAGCATGCTTAATCTCTACCCACTGGGTGCCAGCAGCAGCCTCCTGCATTTTCTGACAGCTAAACATATTTGTAGACATTTCCAAACGTTCCGGGGGAACAAAACAATCCGTGACTGTGAGTCACTCCTCTTATGTAACAAGTCAAGCTTTGGGAACAGAGACAGTAATCCCTCGGCCACACAGCCCTTTACACACGGAGCATGATAGTGTGCTTCCCATTTGACTTTTTGTTTTTATTTCATTTTGTCTTTCGAATGTTCTAAAATTTACCATTTTTTCTTTGTTAGTTTTAATGCACTTTCTAAAGATTTGGTGATGTTTTTGTTTGCATCGGACCAAAGACTCTATTAACTAAGTATTTTATTTATTTGCTTTGGAAGCAATCTATAACCATGCCCAAATTTCTTCATTTTAGTCTTTTTAGTCTTCACTCAGTGTTTGTTCTTTTAGTGTAAAACAAAATTTCCCATGGTTTCTTCTTTAAAATCCCATGCCAGTTTTCAGTGGTTTTAAATTTGTCCGACCAACTTTAAAATATATAACATTTTATTAATTCTTTGAGAACTTAATACAATGCATTTCGATCCTATCAATAACCCCTAACTCCTCCTAAATCACCCCCACCCCTCTCCTCCTTCCAACTTCATGTCTTTTCTTAAAAATGACCTGTTGTGTCCATTTGAGCTGCCCATATACACCTGACTGTAGGGCCATCCACTGAGGAATGATGGACCTATCCGGGGCCACATGTTGAAGAAAGCTGCTTCTCCCTCCACGCAGAAGTCATCAACTGTCTCTAGATCCTCAGACCTGGAGGCTTGTTAAGTCCCTGCCCCTTTCTTTATTCAGCCAGGTTTTAATTGGTGACTTGCTATCATGAGCAATGGCTTTTTTTCTTCTTTTTGAGACAGGGTGCCAAGGCTGGCCTGAAGTTTGTGAGTCTCTTGCTTCAGACTCCAGAGTGCTTGGATTACTAGCCTGCACCTTCATACCTAACTATTTTCTCTCCCTGTCTCTTTTTCTCCTTTTTGGATTGTTTGAGATAGAGTTCCACCCTGTAGCCTGGGCTGGCCTGGAACTCACTATGTAACTCACTCTGGCCTTGAACTCATGGCAGTTCTCTAGTCTGCTGGGATTACAAATGTGAGGCACCACAGCTGGCATTTTACATTTTTAATATTAGAGCATTCTTTATCCAGTATTTTTACTGAATTTTCTCAGCTAACCCTTATGCTTCAATGACCTCATTTAGTCTTATGGCTTTAAGATCACTTGTACATTGATATTGATCTAGGTGCCAATAACTTGGATGATGTCATTAGTCTTACGCAAGGCTTTCCCTGTACAGTTATGGCTTGCCAGTTTCCATCCCTAGCATGGACCACATACTACTCACAGCATTAAGCTTCCTATTCCAAATATTCAGGTACCTGGATGCTGAAGAGGAAATCTAAATTTCACACATTGAAGCTGAACTCCTGACAACTTGCTCCTTTAGCAGTGCATCGGTGGCGTCTCAACAAGAAATTGGAACCGCTGTGTGTGCTATGAAATGACATATTTATTTATAGGAATCAGGTTCCACACGATCATAGGAGACGCAAGGGAACTGAGCGGTGGGAGAAGACAGTTGAAAGATAAGAGCGCAGAAGCCATTGTCCACCAGGGATCACTAAGGGAAGCTACTAGAATCTATGAAGGGCTGTTGCTTCTTTCTCAGAGGGAGAGCCTGATTCCATGGCAGGCTAGCAGTGCAAAGCAAAAGAAAAGCGGGGCATGAAGCAGAAGACATCAAGGATCACTAGGAATGTACAAGGTTTAACTGGGACCAGTGAGAACAAGTCTGTCTGGTCTCACTGCCTTGAACTTTGATGATAGTGGTAACCTATAGAAGGGTCTAATGCCCTTCTCATTGATCTGTACAGAAACCTGGCCCTGGATTCAGGAAAGTTGAGGGAAGAGATCCAGCCAGAGCTGAGGTTCCAGCTGTTGCTTACCCCTGTCCCGTATCATCCATCACTAGATACTGGTAGGAGCTGCAGTGGTGTCTGACACCTGACCCACACCTTCAAGGTGTAATGGCTGATGTTCCAATTCCACTTTCCAGATCTCAACAGTGTTTATATGATCAGCCCTAGCCTAGAACTGCAGCAAGCTAGGAGGCTATCTGTCAGTCTACATCAGTGGGCAGATCTAGAGGAGAGGAAATAAGGAAATGGCCCTGTGTAAGGTAACATGGTGTACAATTCTCCAAGGAGCATCTCCATCACAGGAAATGGCAATTTCATCATGCTAGGAGTCGGGGGTCTTATTTAGTAAAGTGTCTGTTCATGAATTGTGTTCATTTGTGTCTGATTGTTCGTTCATTTTCTTATTGTCAAACTTTAATAGCTGGTGTGAATTGACTGTAACAGTCCTTTGTCAGTGAAGGCTTGCTTTTCTGTGTTCATTTGGGCAAACACTCTTATTCTAAACATTAATCAAAAATCAATTTGTTCAATTACAGGTACCCTTCTAGCTATGGAGGTAACCAAATTAGTCAAAAAGAATTTTAATTTTTACAGGGGACCAATGGCAAATCAGCTAATATCAAAGTATTTTCTTTATATAGCTTCAAACAAAAAGAGTACTCTGCAAAAAATAAGCAAATTCATATCATTTACAGATGACCATACTGGTCGAGAACTGATTTTGCCCAGGGTTGTTTGCTTAAGGCAATGGAGCTCCCATTTGCCACTAATGATGTTATTTAGGTTTGGTCCCCTGGTTTTCACTAAGATCCTTTTGTTCGATGGGAAATGCTAGGTCATAAAATAGAACATGTATAAGAAAATGAATTTTCTTGTCTCATGAGAAAAATACATATCTCTATGAACTCTAGGTAGAAGAAGATATTTGGCTGCTCTATAAATCATTTTAGTTATTTTTTGTTTCAGAAAAGGAAGATGGACCCAAAGGAAATCAGTTTTACAAAACGTGTTCATCCTTCTCTTGATCGGAGGTGTGCGTTTCCTGTTTTGAGGCTTTCCACAGAGGATTAAAAGTTGATCTCAAGGCCTGAGTTGGTTTTTCCTGTCAAAAAACAAAAGAAGAAAAAAAAGAAAAGAATCGGTCAAGACATAGTTTAGGAGTTTCACCTGTGACTCCCATATGACAGCGCTTTTGAATCTGTGAGGTCTTGAACGTTCACTATTAATGCCAACAAGTTCTGACAGGTCACCTGTAAGACTCCCATCTGTAATCATGCGGATGGACTTAGGAAGGGCCAAAGGAAGCTGTCAGGGTGGGCTTTATTCTTCCAGAGAATCCAGGCTTGATTCCCAGCGCTCGTGTCAGGCAATCTGTAACTACATCTCCAAGAGGTCCTATACCCTCTTCTGGACTCCATGGGCGGCCACACCCACATTACATATGGTAGACACAGACAGAAGACACACATACACAAGTAGAAATAAATCTTTAAATCTAAAAAAGAAGGGAAAATATAAGGGAATTACTCTGTTTTGCCCATAGTCCTAGTAGAGAGATACAGATGAGAAAAATAAATGGGGATGGGTAGCTAGACAAAGTTTTGAGACTTTTGGGAAAATGGGGGAGGCAAGGGCTGTTTCCAGAAGGCCCACAGAGTTTGGAGGTTAACATGGGAGAAATAGAATTGCCTAGAGTTACACAGACACGTACATATTCAGGCCTCAGAAGCTTTGTCAGACTTGTAGCGATTATCTTGAGGGATGCTACAGGAATGCTCTTGTGTTTGTATCATCTGGGCACACAAACACTGCACGTTCCTAGCGTGCTTTGTACTTCCCAACATCTGTTCACCGTGCCTTGAAACCAAAGAGGATGATCAGCAGGTGTCCTATCATTCCCATGCCCAAAAAGAAGGCCAGCAGCAGGAGACCTACCTCAGACTTAGTCCCTCAGCTCGCACTACTCTCTTAGCTCAATTGTCATGCTTACTTGCCACCTCAACAAAATATTCAACTTTGCAGACAGAGCCTGAGGACATCCTAGGGACCTCATCTGTTGGACAGACCTCCAGGGCTCTACATGTTTTAACAGGTCTCAGAGCAAAATGTGAGCACCCTATGGGGGGAACGACTGGAATTTCAAAATCGTGCAAAAGACACATGCACAGGCCAGCCTGAGTACAGGCCTTAGGCAACAGCTTCTTGCCTGATTCCAGGGGCCTTGCTCCAAAGTCACGTCTTCTCCGGTTTGATATATCAGAGGTCAGAATCGAAGTTTCAAACTAGGGGCTCTGTGAACAAATTCCAGAAGGTCTTTCCTGAGATCTTGGGGGTCTTAATTACTTCGTTTTAAGGGTGCACAGTTTAGGAGGTGAGAAGCCACAGGGTATCTGAGGAGAGGAAGCAAGAGAACTCCATCTAGCGACACAAAACACATCCTGAGGAAGCAGACACAATTCACCTACCTTACTACTTTCTCATTAAATGGAAGAAAAAAACCACCACCATCCAGGAAAAGACCATGTGCCATGTGGAAGGTGGGATGCTGGGACAAAATGAGTCAGTTGGCCAGACCCACAGTCTATGGCAAATCGGCACCCCTGGAAAGCCAACCAATTGACCAGGAAATCGCGTCACTAAATCTTCTTTCCCCAAGCCTCAAGACCAGATGCCATTTTCCAGCCATTTCCATTTGTAGTTTCTCTGATGGTGTGATACTCCAAGGATCTGTGGATTATTAAAGAATGAAGAAGTCAGCTGATAAGTTAGCCCATGCAGAAAAGGCAAATCAGGATCACACAGGTCCCCATTGCTGCTGGTCAGTCTGTCCAGTGGCCCAATAACCAGGTGACTTTCTTTTGGAAAATTAGAGTCTTAATATCAGGGCTGGTAAAAAAAAAAGTTCTGGAATTCATTTTAGAAAGAACAGGGGTTTTTTTGGGGGGGTGATCTCTTCAGTGAACATACCCACCCCTGTCTATCTGTATTACTATCTCATTCATTTTTATGAGTCCTTATGAGCCTGGAGAGTGACGTCACTGTTGTCAGTGATGGGGAGGTTTGACTTTTCTTTCATTAATAAGAATTTTCTCCTGAGTCACAGCAGATGATTTACTGGCTGTCAGGAAGGACCTCAAACTCATAATAGTAGGTCCTCCATAAATAGAAGCCATACGTCACATAAGATGGGAACGGCCTCCTAGGGCATAGAGAAGCGAACATTTGCAGAAAAACTAATCAAAATTGTTCCGCTTGATGGTGCTTGACGTCATCCTGTGGAGCAGAGGCTAGTCACTGCGGTCACCTGGGAAGAGTTGAAAAACAGCAGCATGTATTCTTCAGAAATTCTGCTTCAAAAACCCGTGTTGGTGACTGCGTAACTTTCAAAACCTTTATAAGTCATTCTATCTAATATACTAATACAATTGAAAATCAACCTTAGGTATTGGCCATACCATGAACATGCCGTTTTGTCTGATCTTGGAAGCTAAGCAGGTTTAGCCCTGGTTTAGTAGCTGGATGAGAGAAACAACCTTAATAGTTTGATTGCTTTTCCTATTTCTATTCACCTCTTCTAGACCAAGCTAGTCCAGTTTCTCTATATCACAAATAAAAGTACATTTATTTATTCAGTGTGTGTGTGTGTGTGTGTGTGTGTGTGTGTGTGTTGGGTCTGTGTGTGCCACTATTTGTGTGTAGAGGTCAGAGGTTCTCTCTTTCCAGTATGAGGGTCCCAGGGATTGAACTCAGGTCATCACGTGGCAAGTGCCTATAACCGCTGAGCCATCTCACCAGTGTAAATGATTTTCTTAGGTGCCCAAACTAGATCTAATGACAGGGTGTGGCAACAAAACTTGTAATCCTAGCACTTGGGAAAACTGAGACCAGAAGATCAAGAGTTCAAGGCTATCCTGGGCCACACTGCAGCAAGACCTCATTTAAAAAAAAAAAAAAACAAACAAACCAAAAAAATGGCTGGAAGATGGTACAGTGGATAAAAGTGCTTGCTGTGCAAGCACGAGGACCTGAGTTTGAATCTCCAGAACCCAGAGAGAAGCAAGACATGCCAACAGGAACGTCTGTGACTCATGGCTCCTAAAGGGAGAGAAGCCCGAGGGACAGTTAGCCTGGCATATGCAACCGAAAACCAGCTGACACCCTGCCTCAGGCAAGGTGGTAAGCAGACAGTGACAGCCTTGGGCTGTTCTCTGACCTCCGCACGAATGCTGTGGCATACATGGGTTCACATATTTTCCCTTCCCCCCCACATATCCCCCCTCTCCCTCCACATTGTCCCCTTGTCCCCCACATACCTCCCCCCGAAGTCTTAGAACTCATTCTCTTTCTGTCTTCTTCTTCTTCTTTTTTTTTTTTTTTTTTTTTTTTTTTTTTTTTTTTTTTTTTTTTTTTTTTTTTTTTTTTTGAAAAGGAATCATTTCTTTTAATTGAATACTTCATTCAGACCACATCCCCTTCTGGATGCTTTTCAGGCAACCATTTGGTCCCCACTTCTCAAGAATGTTACAACTGACTGTATTGAGTGAGCAGGAGCCCCAAATCAGGCCTTTGAAACTGTAAAACAAGCAGCACCTTCCCCCAAACCACCCTCTCCTTTCACTTAGCAAGGGACTGGGAGCTAAAGGATCCAAATTCTACTTTCCAACTGTAGACACCCAGGAACCTGGATGCACTGCAAACACCACAAGCTAGCATATCAGAGATGAAGCAAGGCAGCCCCTACACACTCCAAGACGAGGCTCTGATCGCTCCTCCCACAGGAATGGCCTTGCGCCAGCATTCTTAAAGGAAGGCGTCTTGGCCTCTACTTAATTTCCCAAAGACTTATAAAATCTACCAAAAGGAACACGATGGATCAGCATAAGTTGGCTTACTCACGAGAGACTTTCTTGAGTAACAACTTTTGACTGTTGAGAATGTCACGTTTTTTTTTTTTTCAAGGCAGCAAAGTCCAGGGCACTCGAGAGGACAGTTGAGCAGCGACCTAGTGCTGGGGGTAGGTTTATGTAGGGTGCAGGCGCACACCACACACACCGCTTTTCTTCAGGGTATATGGCAAGCCGCCAAGACGCCTGATCATCAAGGTAAGTTATTTTCTATAGGACAGAGCGTAGACCAGCAGAGGGAAAGGTGCTCTCGTGGAGGGCTATCGGAAGGCGGTTATTGTGCAGAAAGTCCTGAGGCTTAAGCAAAAGGGTGGCGGCAGCTGGGGACTGGGACTTCTAGATACTTGGCTACTGCTTGGTGGCAGCAGAGGCCTCAGTGCCACCTGCTTCCTCCACCGATTGTGCTGGCTCCTCTTCCTCCTCCTCTTCCTCCACCTCGTAGTAGCCAACCTCGTAGTAAACATCGCCGTCCTCCTCTTCCTCATCCTCCCCATAGTAGTCAATCTCGTAGTAGATGTTCTCATCTTCCTCCTCCTCATAGTAGAAGTCGCCCTCTTCGTAATAGTCGCTCTCCCACTCTTCAGCCCCTTCGTAGTAGACATCGTCTTCCTCGCCCTCCGCATAATAGCTATCGTAATAGTCCTCCTCCTCCTCCTCCTCCTCCTCCTCCTCCTCCTCCTCCTCCTCCTCCTCACTCTCTTCCTTGTCCTCCTCGCCCTCTTCGCCCTCCTCGCCATCTTCGCCCTCCTTGTCCTCCTTGCCCTCCTCGTAGAAGTTTCCCTTGTCCTCATCCTTGTTCTCACCGTTGGCCTCATTCTCCTCTTGGGGATAGACGTCTGGATACTTCCGCACGCACTCCTGCATGGCTTGGAACTGCTCTGCGCAGTCTGACCCCTTGATTTCGTCCGTGCTGTAATGGAAGCAGGCGAAGGCAGATTTGAAGGATTCTCCACAAGGACCGCTGGTCATCCCCCCAAAGCACGGGCAATTCCAGTTAATTTCTCCACTTGGCAGTGTCAAGCCGTACTCCTCATAGGGATCCTTGGGGTCGTCGACCACCAGCTCTGCGTTGCTGGGACTTTCATGGTCTTCTCTGGTCACAAATATGATTTGATCCTTCCCTTCCTGCCGGCAGTAGGCCATGGTAGCTCGGGGTGTTGGTGCTCAGTGCTGCTGGTGGCTACTGACTAGCAGCTTCAAGTTCGCAGCTCACTGCTCGCAAGGCTGGAGCGAGTGGCTGTCTCTGTTATACCTTCAGGCTGTGACCTCCTCCCTCTCTGCTCCTCAGCCTGGAGGCGTGGAGGGCGGTTCTAAGGCCCGCAGGGACCCGCCCCTTCCAGGCCGGCTCCGCTGGCCCTCAGTATTTTTTCAAAGGAAAACATAATCTCCTGCGGTTTTGATGAGTACTCCTCAAAGGTCCATGTGTAAAAGTTGGGTCCCCAGCGTAGTGCTATTTATTGGACGGTTCCTGTGAATCTTTAAGCATTCCTGTAGAAACGACTGGAAGACCCTTTGGTTACTGAGGGTATTTCCTGGAAGGGAATAATGAGTCTGAACTCATCCAGGCCCTTTGCATCCTGGGTCATGGTGTGACCAAGGTTTCTCTGGTTATGTGCGTGTGTCACCTGTCACCGTCATCCACTGGAGCTGCCCAATCTTAGATTTGAATCTCCAGAACCATGAGCCAAAATAGAACTCTCTTTACTTCCTAAGTCCCCTGGATCAGGCATTTTGTTGCAAAGCTGTCTTATGCGATTCTTCTTTATCTCTACATGAACTAATTGCAAACTCAGCTGAGCATAAGCTTGTTAAAATGAATGTTTCCGGCTTCCGCACCTGAACATGATTGTTGGGTAGGCCAGTGGAGGTACTTGGAAGCTGAATTTTAAAGTAGTTCACTGATCAATAGGAACAGGACAGTTTCCTAATTTGGAAATAAAGAGGTTGTGGATATAAGTTAGAGGAAGTAGGAGTTCTTTAATGGCAGCACAAAGGAAAATGGGTATTTTCTTTCAGTTATTTTTCTTCTGATGCCAACCCTGCTTTATCAAAAGGTAGACCTGAACCGCAAGCCTGTATTTCTTATTTTGTTTGATTTTTGTTGTTTTAAAATTAAAGGGGTGGTCCTTAATGTTTCTCCACCCCCCCAAAAAAAAACCATGGACATGCCTTTTATTTTTTAATTTTGCAAGTAGAATTCAAACAGTTAGAGCTTCCAGAATGGACAATGACTTGGCGAACACTGTGACCCAGAACGATGACATACAGCCTAGCCCACAGTCTTTGTTCTGTACAGCCTAAGTCTGGAGTTCCTTGGGGGGGGGGAGCGAAACCACTGAAGGCTTACGTGACTCAGCTGAAGTGCAGCTCAACCATCACTTGCCTCAATAGCCCTGACTGAGCCCGTGACTCACACAGGCATGCTCTTCAATTCCACGCTCTGAGACACCTTTGCTCAGGGACGGTGTTGAAAAGCTTCGGAAGGAATCCCAAACCTCAGGCTTGACATTCTGCTCTTTGACCTGCCGGCAGTTCAACTATGATAAAGTCACCGCGAGTCTCACATCCACAGCTGTACAGAGGGGACAGTGGAATCCATCCTACCTAGCTAAGGAGAGCGGCCTCCCCCCATTTCACAATTATTACCAAGATCGGTCCGACCTTGAGTTGGCTGACAGCCACAGGGGTGGGGTGGTCCCTGAAGTGGTTGCATCCTGAAACACCACCAAGGGTGGCTGCGGTGAAGTCAGGAGCCTTCTGTGGCACAAGACTTGGGTTTTCTTCCACAGTAGTGATAATGGAGCTGCTTAGGCAGCTGGCCATATTAGAAACCCAGAAATATTTATGTGATGAGCGAAACTAAAGCAACCAGTCAGTCATTTGACAGATGTGCCCAGCACTGAAAAGACAACCTTCCTTCCTCCCTCTCTCCCTCCATTCCTTCCTTTCTCTCCCACCCACCTTTAAAACTAGCATGGTAGCAGAAGCCTGTAATATTAGAATTAGGAGACAGAGACAGGAGAATTAGGAGTTCAAGGCCAGCTTCAGTTAGGTAGCAAGTTCAGGACTATCCTGGGTATGTGAGGCCCTGTATCAAACAATAAGATCAAAGGTTCTAGTCAGGTGACTCCGTGGGTGAAGGCACTAGCTGCGGAAGCCTGGTATCCAGTATCCTCCTCTGCTGTGCTCTGCCTTCTTCTCTCAAGCCTTTGCTAAGCCTGGAGCTCACTGTTCTTTGGCTAGGCTGGTGGCCAGCACACTCCAGAGAGCCTCCTGTCTCCCTCCCGCCCAAGCACCAGCACTATGGTTACAGGTTCACAGGGTCACACCTGACGTTTTGTGGGGGTGTGGATAATCTGAACTCCTGTCCCCATCCTCGGACAGCGAGTGCTCTTACCCACTGAGCCATCTCCTCAGCTCAGCTTTCTTTTCTTTTTAAACGGAAGATTACAGATCGTATCTTCATAGAAAATTATTTTTGAGTTAGCATAAAAAGTTTCACTGTGGGATTTTCATGCATACTTTTTGTTGATCTTTACAACTGCTTTAACTATTTTTATTTATTGTGTGACAATTTCATACATGTATAATCCTAACTTTTGTCAAAAACAGGAATGGGAAATGAATGTTTCCTTTTCACCGAACAGTGATGGGAAAATTGGATGTCCATATATAGAAGAATAAAGTTAGACATATATCTCTTACTCTGCACAAAAAGAGGAATTTAAAATGGATAAAAGCTCCCAGTATAGGGGCTGGAGAGATGGCTCAGTGGTTAAGAGCACTGACTGCTCTTCCAGAGATCCCGGGTTCAATTCCCAGCACCCACATGGCAGCTCACAACTGTCTGAAGATCCAGTTGCAGGGGATTTGACACCTTCACACCAATGCACATAAAATAAAGTTAAATAAACCATAAAAATATTTAAAAAAAAGATCCCAGTATAAAACCCTAAACACTGGAACTTCCCAATGAACATATAGCGAAAACAGTTCAAAATACAAGCATAGGCAAACACTTTCTGAAAAGAACCCCAGTTGTACAGGAAAGAAGTTCAGGGGCTGACAAATGGAATTGGATGAAATCAGAGAGCCACCATAATTTATTGTACTCCTTGATTGATTTATTCGAATAAAAAAGTTATCAAGATTATTAGGTGCTCCGGACTGAAATCTCAAGGTCCAAATCAGGAGCAGAAGGAGAGAGAGCACAAGCAAAGAACTCAGGACCGCGAGGGGTGCACCCACACACTGAGACAATGGGGATGTTCTATCGGGAACTCACCAAGGCCAGCTGTCCTGGGTCTGAAAAAGCCTGGGTTAAAACCGGTCTCTCTGAACATAGTGGACAATGAGGACTACTGAGACCTCAAGAACAATGGCAATGGGTTTTTGATCCTACTGCACCTATTGGCTTTGTGGGAGCCTAGGCAGTTTGGATGCTCACCTTACTAGACCTGGATGGAAGTGGGTGGTCCTCGGACTTCCCACAGGGCAGGGAACCCTGATTGCTCTTTGGACTGACGAGGGGGGGGGACTTGATTGGTGGAGGGGGAGGGAAGGGGGGGGGGGCGGGGGGGAAGAGACAGAAATCTTTAATAAATAAATAAATAAATAAATAAATAAATAAATAAAAGATTATTAGGTGCTGAGAAGCTGGCTTAGTCAGTAAAGAGCAGCATGTCGGGTGAGCAAAAAGACCTGAGTTCTGATCCCTAACACTCACACAGCTGGATGCTGTGTGTGCCTGTAATCTCAGGACCAAGGAGACAGAGGTAGGAGAATCCCTGGAACTTGCTGTCTAGCTAATCAGTGAGGCCCAGCTTCAATGAGAGACTCTCAGAAAATAAGGTGGTAGCTTTGTTCATGTGTTCTTTTGTGCAACACCAGTATTATTCTTTCCCCAGCACAACTAACCAACAGCCCAAGGAGAAACCGTTAAGGATCATGGAAATGCCCTGTTGTTTATGAAGATCTCCCCTAGAGTTAATATTTGCAATGGTTCTTGTCTGCCTGCTTATTTTTGGCTATGATGGTTGCCGTATGATCATTTCCCACAGTTCCTCTTTTCTGATCTTCCGCACTGACTACTTGTTAGCCCTTGCCATTAAGCTGAAAGCAAGTCCTCCTTCTCCCCTTCTCTGCTTATCTGGCCAATCAGAATGGACATATGTTCCTATATTTCCATGGCTTTATAACTTAGTACTGAGCTTCATAAGTTTGCTTTGGTGCTATGATTTGCCTCCTCTGTCCTTGAAGAATGTCACCATCTTTTTAAAAAAAATATTTATTTATTTTTTATTATGTATACAATATTCTGTCTGTGTGTATGTCTGCAGGCCAGAGGAGGGCGCCAGACATCATTACAGATGGCTGTGAGCCACCATGTGGTTGCCAGGACTTGAACTTAGGACCTTTGGAAGAGCAGGCAATGCTCTTAACCACTGAGCCATCTCTCCAGCCCGAATGTCACCATCTTTTTTTCTCTGTCACTTTCTTCCTTCCTAACACATCAAAAATATTCTATGCTCCCCTTATATCTACTATGATCTGTCCCAGAAAGCAGCAGGATCAAACAAACCTCTGATAAACCTCTGACATCCACAGCTGGTTGCATCCAAGACCAGCCTTCTAGCAGTCTTGTGTGTGTATGTATGCACAGGCACATGCATGGGCACGCCTGTACGTGAGAGAGCAAGCATGCATGCATATGGAGGCCATAGACTGGCATCTAATGCCTTTATCGATTACTTTTCTTTTCTTTTTCTTTTTTTTTTTTTTTGAGACAGGGTTTCTCTGTGGCTTTGGAGCCTGTCCTGGAACTAGCTCTGTAGACCAGGCTGGTCTCGAACTCACAGAGATCCGCCTGCCTCTGCCTCCTGAGTGCTAAGATTAAAGGCGTGCGCCACCATCGCCCGGCTATTGATCACTTTTCAACCCCCTGTAGGCGAGTACAATAAAGCAGTCTCACACTAGCTCAGAATGGAGTATAGTAAAGGGTTCTTTATTTAGTACATGTGGCCACACCCAGAATGTGCCAGTATCTTAAAGGCTGAAGGATTCACAGCACCCCCTCTCTTTTTTGAGACAGGGTTTCTTTGTGTAACCCTGACTGTCTGAAACTTACTATGTAGACTATGCTGGCCCCGAACTCACAGAGATCCACCTGCTTCTGCATTCTGAGTGTTGGGATTAAAGGCGTGTGGCATGTGCCACCATGCTTGACTAGTTCTTTATGTGTTTTATTTATTTATTTTTAATTTA